GACATGACAATTGACAACTGACACATGACGTCACAACCAATCACAGACAATCTGACAGGTGGAGGGGAAAGCCAATAGGAAAACGGGTTACAACAATAATAAAATAATAGTAGAGAATACTAAGAGAACCCGCGAAGACTTTATGCCGGAAAACTAATAAAAAACTTGAAAACAATAACATTGGACAACAGTTCATGTCGCCGACCGGTCGCGAATTTCAACATTTCTCACAATGAAATCGGGTATGACGAGAGAAGGTGAATGCAGATATTCAATCAGTACGGTCCATTAGTAAATTTAGTGCACTCACATTCACCATAACTTACCTTATACGTCCAAAAGGATAGATAAATTATGACGAAGTACAGCTCTGGCCAAACCGTAGGCTACCGACAGGTCGGCGATTTTAACACTTCACACTTGCAACTTGAGATCTACAGAAATTATAAACACAGAAATATCATCAGCGTACTTCAATTACGAAAATAGTGGAGCCCAAATTTAAAGTAACTCACTTTTTAAGTGCAATTACGCGAAAAAACAACAGCATAGGTGCTGCGCCGAACCGCCGAGCTACCCCCTCTCCCGACGCTGACGTCACGGGGCGGCCATGTTCTATTGCTGTCTCACTCCCACGTTTCGGCATATCCTTGACTCATCGGTTTAAATGTGAATTCAGTACATTTAATTTGGGTGGACATAAAAAAACGATCCACTATCTTTAATTTTGCAATCTCAGGATCAAAACGACACCAAAATATATGTGATAGCGTGTGATATTAGTACCGGAAAGTGTTTTAATAGGGATCGGTGCGCCAAACCTTGCGTCTCCCTAAGTCTAGCTTAACTCCATGGTACCACCGCGTCGTCGCTGGCACCTGCGGCCGGCCAGGCCTGCGGCGGTGTGGACACGACAGAGGCGCCCGACCGCGACGACGCTCAATATGTCATCCCCCGTAATCACATCACATACACACGTCCACACTCACACCGACACTCCACCAATATCCCAGAAGAAACCTAACGTCCGGCCGAAATCGTCGTGAGATTTTGTCAATTTTAATAGACGACCCCGTGATCTAGTTTTGCAATATCAGCGTACGGGGAAGAGACGATCGATGTTACCAGCTGTCAGTAAATTCCAAATGAAAAGAGCACTTTTTTCACAACAACAAAGGGCTGCCAAGGCAGCAGCGGATCTGGCGCACGTCTTTTTAGCAGTGAAACAAGTGGGTCGGCTCAACACCTCTCCCCTCCCCCTCCTCCTCCTCACTGTCCTTGCCCCCGCCCTCCCGCACCTCTCTTACCCCTCCGCAGGCCCTCCCCACAAAAATACGAGAGCAGGGTCAGGGCCTTCCGAAATCAGACCTGCTCCTGCTACGAAAATGGGAAAAAAAACAAGTAAAAAAGAAACATTATTAAGAAACTACACCCCGAAAGACATCATAAAACTGTTATCAATCACATTTCATTCAGCCTAAATGTACTCAACTACTTGAAGTTTGAGTGCACTAAAAACCCAAGTTATTGTATAGCATATCTTAGAAAGTTATGACCACTGTTGTAAAGTTATGCAAAAAGGTTCAGAATTTTTGTATTCGCCCAATCACAATATTTAAGTTTTGTATAGTTACAGAAGTCAACCGTAGAACTAGTGTGCGTACAGCAAACTTCTTGCAAAGAATTTTGAAGCATTGTAAGGAAGTTTTCATTGCAAACTATTTTCTTTGCATTGCAAACTATTTTCTTCGTAAGTTGCGAAGAAATGGTTTGCAAGGTTACGAACTAATTCTTCGCAGCGTTACGAACGATTTTCTTCGTAAGGTGCGAAGAATTAGTTCGCAATGCGAAGTATTTAGTGTGCAATGCAAAGCATTTTACAACGCTTGAAAATTCTTTGCAATGCAAAGAATAGTTCTTCGCAAAGCTTTTTACAGATGGCAAGTCTTGAAGAATTTTCTTTCCATAAACTAACGACATTTTTTTTCACAGTTAGTTGGGGAGGGTGTAAACTGAGCTTCACAGAGTAAGCCACATCTGCAACGAGCCGCGCCATCCCTTCGACCGAGAACACGTTTTCTTCGTTATCGTCCTGCGAGCTCGTTCACCACCTGGCAGCGAGCACAGGGGACCCTGGGGTTGATTGGCTGCACATTCC